CCTAGGTGTAGCTCCCCAGATTTTTTGTTTGTTTGTTTCTTACTTCAGCTGTCATCATGCTTCACCAGTGGCTACACTGGTTCAGCATGGTGGGAGTTGCAGGCCCCCATTCCTGTTTTTTGTTTTTTTGTTTTTTTTGCTGGCTATGCCCCCTCGCTCCCAATCTTAGTTCTATAACATTTGTGTTTTTGTGTAGACATATCAGTTTCCCCCCCCCTTTATTTTGTTTTTTATAAACAATACAAAACAATCAGACAAATGACACAAAGCAAACAACAACAAAAATGAAAAACTACCAAGCTACAACATCCCCCCTCCCTTTTAGGACAGAGATTCCCTATGTGTAGACATATCATTTTGAAGGTATGCAGGTGCTCATTGTATAAATAAATAAACAAACTTCAAACGGCATATTAGATGAGGGAAAGGTCAACTACCACTTACCACTTAGAATTTTTCGAAGTCTAGGTTTTTCTCATGTTTCCAAAGGCAACCAATTAAAAATTCAGCAACTGGGGAATGCAACGAGTATTTTCTTTTATGTACTCCAAATCAGTGTCTTTGGGAAGCTGGTGTACAGCAAAACTGGTTGGTGATTTGCCTTGCACAGGAACGGCAATTAAAAATCTAAATTTCAACCCTCTCTGCCCTGTCAGCCTTCTGAATATATCGACTAATCAGTGAAATAACTCTGAACTCATTTCCGCCCTGAGGCTATTTTGCTGTGTTCCAGATGCAGAACAAGGCAAAAGCTTATACTGCACAAAACACAGGCAAGAAGAGAGAGAGAGAGAGAGAGAGGGAACAGACAATGTAGAAAGGAGTTTTTTTCTTCTTCAGAAATTAGGATCCTGCTTAAAACAGCTGCCACGGATGGACTTGTTTTGATGCCAGCTAGCACCCTGCTGAATCATTGTGCAGGTCCCACTATAGTGGGCTAGACCACGTTTTGGTCTCCATAAAAAAAAAACTCTCGAGAGGAGAGTTTGAGGATTTCTGGGTGCAGCTGCAGAACAGACCTTTAGCAGTTCAGTTCCATCCGGTGGGATCCTGGGACTTGTAGTTTGGTGGGGTTGTGGAAAAGGAACTTTTCCAAGTTCAGCTTGCAATAGGGGACATTGCTACGGTTGGGTAAACGCTGACACTCCCACTGGATTGCTGCCCAAAATAGATTTCTTTGTGTTTTCCTTATTTTCCCCTCATGAAAGTGAAGCATGCAGCATCTTACAGCATCCTCTTATAGAGGAAAAAGGGTGCAGAATACATATGGATAAATCGCCCCTTTTAAGGCCTGTTCCAAGGTGTTCAAACAGCACTTATGGTGTATAAAGCATTTCCTATACACTCATATTTGTAGCATTCCTATAGTGTTTTCCTTATTTTCCCCTCATGCAAGTGAAGCATGCAGCATCTTACAGCATCCTCTTACAGAAGAAAAAGGGTGCAGAATACATATGGATAAATCACCCCTTTTAAGGCCTGTTCCAAGGTGATCAAACAGCACTTATGGTATATATAAAGCATTTCCTATACAGTACACTCATATTTGCAGCATTCCTATAAGGACAGTCAGCATTAGCATCCCAATGTTATAGGTATGTTGAGAGGAGGGTTACCTTGTGTGTACGCATGCAAAAGGGTGCAGAATACATATGGATAAATCACCCCTTTTAAGGCCTGTTCCAAGGTGATCAAACAGCACTTATGGTATATATAAAGCATTTCCTATACAGTACACTCATATTTGCAGCATTCCTATAAGGACAGTCAGCATTAGCATCCCAATGTTATAGGGATGTTGAGAGGAGGGTTACCTTGTGTGTGTATGCACACATGCACACACCCTTTTTTTCCTTTTGTGTTGTTCCTTTTCTGATTGTAAACTTAAAATCACGACACACACACACACACACACACAGTGACTCGAGGGAGTTTTGTTTCCCCTCATGTGTCTGCAGACCTTCTACCAGGGCAAGAAATCTCATATGTTAAAATATGTGCCTTGTGTTGTTGGTTTCCCCTTTCTTTCCCTATCTCTTTTTTTCCTTTTGTGTCGTTCCTTTTCTGATCGTAAACTTAAAATCACAGGATTGCCTTATCTTTTTAAAATAAGGCATTCTGAGAGTATTTCCTGATGTAGACAGGTAGGGATAGTTACACACAGATAAATAGATACAAGTTGAGAGAAAGTCCATCAGAAAGGCCGCTCTTACATTCTGATTGAAGGCCCAGCACGGACAAGAGGGAGGGATCCGATGGCTCCCATTTTCCCTTCCAAGTCTTGGATTCTACCCTGGATAGAGTTCAGGAAAAGCTACTTCTTTGGACTACAAGTCCCAGAATCCCCCAGCACCCATGCCAGCTGAGGGGTTCTGGGAGTTTTAGTCTCAACAAGCTCAGACTGTGGGTGAGGCAAGAACCAAATCTGAGAAATTCACTTGGTGACTGCAAGATTCGCCTGCAAGATTCTGTGTTGTACCGCCCACACTCACTTCGTTGTTAATGAGAGACATTTTGCTAATAACACTAGAGTAGGCACGTTTCTCTGGATTAGCAATGTTAACAGATTTTTTGATTTTTTTTTTAAAAAAAATCCTGCTCTTTGATAGCTTTGGTCTCTGGTTAGGAGTTCGATTTTCCACTATGCCTCCTTAACAGGACCTGATAATCCATAGAGTCTCTTCCAGTTTTGCAGTTCTAAGATGATGATGATACTGTTGATGGTGATGATTATAAAGGATGGAGATATTTCTAAGCGTTTTTTCTAAATGTGGGGATGTGATTCAAAGGCAAATCGCATGTGTTTCCAGAGGAAGGCAATCAAGATGATAAAGAGTCTGGGAAGTTGGCATTAGAAGGAATAATGATGAAGAGAACTGACCATGTTTAGCCCAAAGAAGAGACTAAGGTGAAAGCTTAGGAGAGCCATCTTCAGATATCTGCAAGGCTGTCAAAAGGAAGATGGAGCAAGTTTGTTTTTTGCTGCTCCAGGGAATAAAAATCCAACACATTGGGTTTGAATTACAAGAACAGAGATTTTGATGAGGCTTTATAGGAAGAACTTGCTGACAGTCAAAGACAGTAGAATGGATGGCGCTGGAACAGTGGCGGCTCAAGTTCCAGAGGTGCTGTGAACCCATTTCAGGTTGTAGTCAGAATTCTAGCCTCGGTGACCAATTGCTGCTCTTTACTGAAGAGCTGGTTGCATTCCTGGCTGCACATCCAATTAGATGTGTGACCAGGAATGCCACCAGCACCTCATCAATGACCACCAAGGCGTATGCAATTTCTCTTACACAATCACGTTGTCACTGGGCAAATTTGTTTCCTCTTCTGATACTGTGAAGACTGGGGTCAAGCTCAGAGAAAGCAAGGAAACTGTCCAACACTGGACAGTATTTCCTGGTAGGGAATACGTTCCAGTTTGCAAGGCTGAGAACTCATCACGTGCAGCAATTCCAGATAGAATATTATCTGCACTATGAGCTGAAGTGGGTTGATACTAGCGTGAAGTGTTGTGAGTCAAGCTTGTGGAACCCTGGAATTTATAGTCTGGTGAAGTGCTTATAAAGCCTCTGCCATAAGCAGCCGGTGCTGTAATTTGGGTTGCTTGTCTAATGCTTGTAAGCAAATAATACCAAGTCAACAAAAGACAAAACCCCAGGATTTTGTAGAATAAAGCCATGCCACTCAAGGTGGTTTCAAATAGCTATCAAGGCCGAGAGGTCTAGCCCAAGAATCTCTGAAACCAACCACACTTTCCTTCTATAATAACAGCCGATCTATAGGTGCTTGCACATTGCAGTGTCCCTTAAATTGGTGGTAGCCGAAGAACCTGTTTCACCTCATCCACACACACCCACACCCCCGAAATTAACATGGAAGGAACAATTTCACCCTCCAACCTCTGTACATGTTACCCCTGCTCCCAGGGAATGCCGTTCTCTCTGTTTGCTCCCGCCAGTGTAACAATGCCCTTTCTATGCAACTTGGGGGGGGGGTGTTTATGGCCAGAGCCTCAACTCAGCAACATGAGAAGCAAGACCCCCCAAATGAATCAAATCTTTCTTTGTTTCATCCTTACATGCAAGGAAGAGCAGCTGCAGCTTTCTTCTCCTTCTCTTATGGAAGGGAATGATTTTCCCGGCACTCTTGATAAAGTTCCCACAGAGAGAGCGAGAGAGCAGTTCATGCAAAAGAAAGAGAAGAAGGAGGAATAGTTTTTGCACCCAGACTCCAAATCTTGAAATTCATGCAACAGATTTTTCCCAAACTAGGATGACTGTAGCATTAATAAACAATGTATCCCCAGTTGAGTTGTTTCTGTCTTGCTTAATAACCATCCAGTTCTTTTGTGCTTGATGTGTGCATGTGCATGCATGTGTGCGCATGCATAAATGTGCACATGAGCATGCACGTTGTTTTCCCAATGCTAGACGCGTTTTCTGGAAATTACAGACACCTTGATGGGACTCAAGGGGAAGGCTTTTTGTCTCACTTTGAGCTGGGGGTGAGGAATCTTACAAGGCTTCAAACATTTTGTATTTTCTTGTTCTGTTGAGGTCACTATGAGGCCAAAAAAATCCAGTGATTACATACTCTCCACACCTAGAGATCGCTTATCACATTTTGATATTTGTGAAGCAAAATGCATTGCCCAGGATGTAATTCTCAGTTCATACCACTTGCATACAGAAATAATATATGTGCAGGATGTGTTCCTGCATGTGATCATTTAATTGGGTGCATGCCCAGGAATGCAACTGGCACTTTGTTAATGAGTGGCAGTTTGCCACCCAGAGTTATGTGATTCCCATTCCACAAGTGAAAACCAACAACAGAATTCTGGCCATTGCCACCTAATGCACCTCCAGCCCATAAAACGGTGATGAATTCCATCACCTAAAATCACCCACATGGACCACAATATCAGTGTTGTGATGTGACTCCTGAATGGGTGAATAAACCTCCCTCTTGTCTTTCCCTTCCCCAAATTACAGTGAGGCTGGATAAGCTATCAGAAGCTGCCAAGGTGAATACGGATGCTATCCGCTCTGCTCAGGAAGAGATTACAGAATACCGCCGGCAGCTGCAGTCCAAGACCATTGAGCTCGAAGCTCTAAGAGGGACCAAAGAATCCTTGGAGCGACAGAGGGCTGACCTAGAGGACCGGCACAATGTGGATGTCCAGTCTTATCAGGTAATGTGCTGTGAGGATGAGGCAGAAACCAAAAGCAGCTGTCTGTGGCTAGAACCCTCCCCTTCCCCAGTCTATAGGGCAAAGCTGTGCTTAGACCTGAACATCCTGAATTCAAATGTTCCACCTTTACCTATACTCTAGGCCTGTCAGGCTCTCTCTTCAAGACTAAAATCTGAAAACGGTGTTGTGAAAACACTAAAAAAGAAGGTGTTGTGAAAAACTTCTCATAGCTCATAGTATTCATACTCATTCATCCTGTTTTATTTTCTGGTCGGAAAGGTTTTGCAGGTTTTTGGTAGTGCTCCAAAAACCTACCTAACCTACTTAACCAGAGACTATAGCAGTGTAGAAGAAATGATATAGAGAAACACTTGTCACTGAAAGCGTGCAAGAGACTGTTGAAGACAAAATTATCGTATAGTCTTCAGTAGTCTAAAGAATCTATTTTCTCTCCAACTGTTGATATTCCTTGCGGTGAAGGTGAGCCAGATTAAATGGCTTTAAGGCTGCAGGTTGGCCTGTTCCAGACCAGAGGACTGGTGGGGGGGGGTGGTCACCTCAATTTTGGCCTTTTTCTTCCACAGGAGAACATCATGCAGCTGGATAATGAGTTGAGGAACACCAAGTGGGAGATGGCAGCCCAGCTGAGAGAATACCAGGACCTGCTTAATGTCAAGATGGCTTTGGATATAGAGATCGCTGCTTACAGGTACCTGCAGTGTTGCTGTGGAGCTAAGAACAAAGGAGCAAACTGGAGACGTTTGTGGTCCCTTCTTCTTATTAGGAGCCAAAAGATGTCTAGTGCTGGCTATCAGCCTCGGCTTTTAGCTTCCACAATTTTCTGTTTTGTGTTGTTCTAATCCATGCCAGTCCTGCTGATCTTTTAATATCATCCACCCAACTCGTTTGTGGCCTTACTGTACACCAGTGGTTCTCCTGCTGATCTTTTAATATCATCCACCCATCTCGTTTTGTGGCCTTCCTCTACACTGTCTTCTGATCCACTTCTTTATTTCATTGGCCATCTACTTCTTTCATCATGACTTATTTCTGTTTTATTGATGCTACTTGTTCTTGTACATCAATCCTCTCTGTCTTTGATTCCTGAAAAAAACTCTCCAATCCTCTCTGTCTTTGATTCCTGAAAAAACTCTCCTTACCCTGTTTCCACGAAAATAAGACCTAACCTGAAAATAAGCCCTAGTAGGATCTTTTAGGATGCTTGTAATATATAAGCCCTACCCCAAAATAAGCCCCCATTAAGTGAAACTCCATCCTCCATCCTTGTGCAGCAACCAGAAAAGGATGACATGGTTGTAAAATAAAACATCCCCTGAAAATAAGCCCTAATGCATTTTTGGAGCAAAAATTAATATAAGACCCTGCCTTATTTGGGGGGAAACACGGTACCTAGGACTATGTGAAGCACAATGAGTCTTTCTTCCCCTAAATATGGACCAGTTGGACTGGACTAGCACAGATTTTAAATTGTGGATAGGACTGCCCTGCAAAGCCACATCACCCTTAGACCATTAGTGATGTAGCTTACAGCACGTAGAGGAAGGGGTAGTGGGATGATGTAGTAATGTTCATTGGAGGCAGAAATTAAAGTATTCACTGAGTACATCAACGTACCCATGTTCTGAGCGAAGGGGTTGATTGTTGTTGTTGTTGTTGTTTTGGGGCACCATGCCATCTGACATATGGTGACTCTATGAATCTCCAAAATGTCGTGTCTTCAACAGGCCCTGATCAGCTCTTGTAAACTCAAGCCTGTGGCTTCTTGGATGGAATCAAACCATCTTACATTTGGCCTTCCTCTTCTCCTCCTGGCATCAACTTTTCCTAGCATTATTTATCTTTTCCAGGGAATTTTGCCTTCTCATGGTGTGCCCAAAGTGGGCCATATATTATTTACTTTTTCACCTCACACCCTGGACTGCTACAAAAAGGCAGACAAGGGGGTCCTAGATCACCTGGGTTTTGACATTTTTGCCTTCAGAGAGAGTTCAGGCTTGATTTTATCTAGGAACCCTCTAGTTTGCCTTTTTGAAGCAGTCCAGTGCCTTCAGAGAAAGAGTAAATAATATAATTGTCTCTGAAGCCTCAGGGAATAAGAAACTACAGCCAAACCTTTGCTCCGCACCAAACAGCAACAACAACAACAACAACAACAAAACAACAACAACAACAACAACAACAACAACAACAACAACAACAACAACAACAACAACAACAACAACAACAACAACAACTCAGTCTGCAACAACAATTTCTAGGAGGAAGATATACTGGAAACCTCTCAGCAACCATAACTAGACCCACTATGTTACAATATAGTCTCATGTATATACACTGAAATATACTTTCCATTTATTTGAAGAAACCTGCTCTAGGTTGAATGAATCTTGCCCAACATCTCTCTAAGTCCCTGTTTTCTCAGGTTTTGTAGACTGTTTTTGACATAGATCCAATTTTCATTTTCAGCAAGGTCACCTTGGGATTCCCTGCACCAATATACACACAAAAAAAGTGAACAGGGGAATGTAAACATTCATTAGTTAAAAATTAATTAGTTATCAGAGCCATAAGCAGCAATTTTGGAAATCACCCAGGACACTGCGAGGCATGGGCATAGCTTGAAGGAAAAGGTGGAGGAGAATAGAGTCTACCTGCCCGAATGACTGAGAAAGTTTATGAGGCCAGAAAATAAATGCTGTTATTTATTTTCTTAACACTCACCAATACCTTCACCTCTAGATGTTGGTCCCTAGGACAAAGCCCTAGCTGTTGATTGAAGGATGATCATGGTTGGTATTAAGTCATCCTGGACACCTGGTTATATTCGGGGGGGGCACCCCCCATCTGCATGGTGGTTACCATGACTGAACCACCCAGTATTGATTTCCTTTTTCTGCCCCCTCTGGAAACAGGAAACTGTTGGAAGGAGAGGAATGCCGCCTGGGAAGTGGAGTGGGTCTCTTCCCTTTCCCCGAGACGTTCCCCAAGGGTCCAAGCATCTCCACTCACATCAAGGTCAAGAGCGAAGAGAAGATCAAAGTGGTGGAGAAGTCGGAGAAGGAGACGGTCATTGTGGAAGAGCAGACTGAGGACGTCCAAGTGATTGAAGAAGTAACAGAGGAAGATGGGGGGGAGAAGAAAGAGGAAGAAGAGGGTGAGGGTGAGGAAGCAGAAGAGGAAAAAGAAGAAGAAGAAGAAGAAGGTGAAGGTGAAGCAAAAGAGGAGGAAAAGGCAGAGTCTGAAGGAGGAGAAGGAGGAGAGGCTGAGGAAGAAGGAGGAGGTGGAGAAGAAGCCGATGAGTTGCCAGCAAAAGAGAAGGAGTCTCCATCAGCAGAGGAAGCCAAATCTCCAGAAAAGGTGCCAACGCCTTCAGAGAAAGAGGAGGCCAGATCGCCAGAAAAAGCAAAGTCCCCAGCAAAAGAGGAAGCCAAGTCCCCAGCTGCCAAATCTCCAGCGAAGGTTGCCTCTCCCACCAAAGAGGAGGCCAAATCCCCTCCCAAGGAGAAGTCCCCTACCAAAGATGAGGAAAAAGCTCCTGCCGCCAAGTCTCCTGAGAAGGTCGCATCTCCGACGAAGGAGGAGAGCAAGTCTCCCGAGCAGGTCAAATCCCCAGCAAAGGAAGCCCCCAAGTCTCCAGCAGCGAAGTCTCCGGAGAAAGCGGCCACTCCAACCAAGGAAGAAGTCCGGTCTCCGGGAAAGGTCAAGTCTCCCACCAAGAAAGAGGCTAAGTCTCCCGAGAAGCCCAAGTCGCCACCAAAGGTTAAATCACCAGAAAAAGAGCCCACCAAGCCACCTCAGAAGGAGGCCAAGGTGCCTGTGAAGGAAGAGAAGGAGAAAGCTCCAGGGAAGCCAAAAACAGAAGAGAAGAAAGAGAGCAAGAAAGAAGAGGAACCCAAACCGGCAGCGCCAGCTAAGGATGTAAAGAAACCAGAAGCCAAAGTGGAGGAGAAGAAGAGTAAGACCGAGGAGAAGGACGAGGCCAAGAAAGCCACCAAGCCAGAACCTGAGGAGAAGGACAAGGCTGGTGCCAAAGCCGAGGACAGCAAAGCCAAGGAAAAAGAGCCCTCCAAACCAGCACCGACATCCAAAGATGATGCCAAGAAAGAAGAGAAAGCCGCCCAGAAGGAGCCCGAGCCCAAACCCCAGGCCAAAGAAGCAAAGGGCAAGGAGCCGAGTCAGGAAGCTGAAAAACCAAAGGCAGAAGAGAAGGAGAAAGCTGAGCCCAAGAAGGAGCCGGAGGAGAAACCCAAAGCTGAAGCTAAACCCAAAGAAGAGGCCAAGAAGGAGGCCAGTGCCAAGGAGACCCCCAAGTCCGAGCCTGCCAAGGAGTCCCCAAAGGCCACCAAGCCCAAGGCAGAGAAAGCGGAGAAGTCCTCCAGCACAGAGCCTAAGGAGGGCAAGCCCACAGAAAAAGCGTCTGGGGGGGAGAAAGCCAAGAAGAGCGAAAAGTGAGGAGAGGGCGCTGCTTGGGGGGGGGGAGAGGGCATGGCAGGCCACCCAAGGCGTTGCGCAAGGGCGTCCCTGCCGGAGGGCCAGCCCTCTTTTGTCCTTGAAAGAGAAGACTTTGCTTCAGTGAGGGACGGCACCCTCTTTCTCACCCGGGACTCCTGTTAGCAATCTGTTGATGTGAAAGAAAACAAAACAAAACAAACACACACACAAAGCCCTAAATAAGCAATGACCCGAGCCTCCGCGAAGAGGCGGCTCGGTTATGTTATGATAGCTTTCGTAGCAGAATGTGATATTTAAAGCAGAATGCCACATTTAAACACTTGAATTACTAAGAGGGGGAGGGGGGGAATCCAGGCAAAACTTGACTGCCCTTTTTATTTCAAATAAGTGCATTTACTTCCGATAGGGGCAACTGTGGGTCGAATGCAATAAACGAATGTACACAGCTAGAGCTAATATTATGATGATGATAATATTATTGAAAGGATGTACTGTAGGCTAGAGAATTCCAAAATGATCTGAAATGCCTTGTCTTCATCTTTCATCCACACATGCACACACCTACACACAAACACACAGGCGCACCTTTGTAGCCACCCACCATTGAGAACGTCATCCACAGCTGGTCTCAGGAGGAAGGATCGTTGGGCGGATGTTTCCACTAGAAAGTTAAACGGGTTTAAAACCAGTTCCATTGCCTTGATTCCACCAGAGGGGCCCTGGTGAATGTTAATCTGGGGAGAGGGTGTTGAGAGACAGATCTCATCAGAGGTCTATAAGCACTGTTACACAAGAAGGACAGGCCTCGGGATTCTCTGTGAGGGAGCCCTACCCATTGAAGAACTGGTTGCAAAGCCGGGTTAAGTTTATGGTGTGGACATACCCACTGACGCCGTCATAAGCAATCACGTGTACACACGCATACACATAAGCCAACAATGCAGGGATAAGGACTTGCACTACACCAAGCCAAACGTTCACTTCCAGTTGCTTCTGTGCAATAAAAGCAAATAAAAAGGCTTACAAAGAGTTGACTGACTCCATCTTGTGGTTTTCTTTTGGGGGGAGGGTGAAGGGGAAGCTACAGGGGTGAAGGGTGCGTGTGCAGAGTGCTGTCCGTGAAAGCAGAAGGAGCAGGCAGAAGAGAAGAGGTAAGACCCCTGCCTAAGAATAGGCAGAGCGTTCAGCCTGCGGTCACAAACAGTCCTGAGCCAGATGGATTCCTAGTCTCATCAAGGATCAGGCAGCATAGCAGAGGCTCTGATGGATTCCTAGTCTCATCAAGGATCAGGCGGCATAGCAGAGGCTCAGATCGTGCAGAACACCTGAAATTCAGATCCTGGCATGTGATCAGTGGGTTGGCTTGCTACATCTCCTATATTACTCTTTAAGGTACTGCCTTTTAAAAAAGAGGATCAGGTACCAGACGATAGGGGGAGTCATTTCTGTGCTGGGAAAAATCTACTGCCAATTGGAGCTGATGGTGTCAGATAACATGAGCCAGACATTCATCCTGGTGTCAAGCAGCTTTCCATTTTCCTAACTATGCAACTCATAAGAACAGTCACCTTTCTGAGGAAGCTATAGCTCAGTGGCAGGGTCACCTATTTTGACTCTAGGTGATTCCTGCTCCACTCTGCGTTCTCGGTTCTACGATATGGCCATGGAATCGTGGATAAAAATGCTGGCCACTGTAAAAAGGGATAGGTGTTTGAAGAGTAGATTTATTAAAACATGCTGAGAAGTTCTTGGATCAAAAGGGTGACCAGCAAAGAAGATCTAAGAAGGATGAATAAAGATCAAGAAATTACACAGCACTTAGAAAATGGAGAAAGTTGGAGGAGTTTGCTGAAATCATGAGAAATGAAAAGTATAGATTGTAACAGACGATCATTTCAGGCAAAAGAAACAGGGGAGGTGGTGTGGAAAGGGGAATTATTTATTGGCTGAAGAAGCCTGGAGCGGTTTGGATGCAGCACTACAATGCTGTTTAGAACACAACTCCAAATTACTATAAGCCCCCGTCCCCATTCCCCAGCTATCATAGCCACGTGGGAGTTGTAGTTTGAAGAGGTAATTTTTCCAAGCTTTGTTTTAGAGCCTTTGCATCCACAGTCTGAACATGCATGCATGCATGAATGAATGAATAAATGAATGTTGAGAATGACTGCTCTAGACAGTCAGCCTCTAAGAAAAAGCCTGTCTGAAGAAAAGGGTCTTTGATTGCTTGCAGAAGGACAGTAAAGATGGGGCCAGTCTGATCTCTAGTGTGGGAGGGAGTTCCAGAGTCTAAAGGAGGAGCCACAGAGAAGGCCCTGTGTCCTGTGTCCCCACCAAAGACACGTGTGAAGGAAAGGCCCCTCCTGCTTAACAGCTAAGCAGGCTCCTAAAGGAAGATACGGTCCTTGAGATAGCTTGGGCCCACTCAGATCAAAAGCCACTGAGAGGTCCAGCAGAATCAGCAAGGATGCAATTACTCTGTCCAGTTCCTGGCAGAAGGTCATCCGCCAAGGCAACCAAACCAGTCTCCATCCTTGAGATGGCTTACTTGTGGATGGTTTCAGTACCGCTTTGTCCATCCCTCTCTAGTGTAGCTTGACAGACTTCCCTGCTACCTCCATCCTAAAAGCAGGTCAGATAACAGGGTAGGGGAGTGGAGCGCTCCTCTGCCTTAGACCTTGGAGAGCCCCTCGGAAGAATCAAACCATTCTGAGCTGCACAGACGGATGGACAGACCTGGAGCAAAGGCCATTTCTCCTGCTCTGGACAAAGGCTTCCAACGAAGAGAGAATCATCTGTCATGGCTGACTCCTTTTGGCCTGCTCTCTGTGGTGGGACTGAGGGAAAGGCCCCTCCTGGTGATCCTAAGAGAGCTAAGCAGGCTCCTAAAGGAAGATACGGTCCTTGAGATAGCTTGGGCCCACTTGGATCAAAAGCCATTGAGAGGCCCAGCAGAACCAACAAGGACGCAATTACTCTGTCCTGGCAGAAGGTCATCTGCCAAGGCAACCAGACCAGTCTCCATCCTTGAGACGGCTTACTTGTGGATGGTTTCAGTACATCTTTGTCCATCCCTCCCTAGTGTAGCTTGACAGACTTCCCTGCTACCTCCATCCTAAAAGCAGGTCAGATAACAGGGTAGGGGAGTGGAGCGCTCCTCTGCCTTAGACCTTGGAGAGCCCCTCGGAAGAATCAAACCATTCTGAGCTGCACAGACGGATGGACAGACCTGGAGCAAAGGCCATTTCTCCTGCTCTGGACAAAGGCTTCCAACGAAGAGAGAATCATCTGTCATGGCTGACTCCTTTTGGCCTGCTCTCTTCTCCACAGAGTCTGGAAGTCACTAGCTCCATGTAACATAGCTACATAGAACTAATTACTTCTGAGTACAAAGGGTGCAACTAAGTTACATTTCAAAAGTAACATGATAGGTAGTCATAACTGTACAATTTAGTGTAACTTAGGTGTAGCAAAGGGGAAAGCTTGGTTCGAAACAAGGTACACAAACTTTTGACACCACACCCCCTTTCTGATTTTGGAGAAACCCCCCATGCCTTCCCACCTCCATGATCCAATCCCTTTTGAACAACCACAACAAGATAAACTTGCAATTTAAGTTTTTTTAAAAAAACGTCATTTAAACCTTGGAACGTTATTTTAAATTGATGTTACAGTCAGACATCTGAGAATAAAGCATTTATATATATTTTTTTGTTTAAATCGTTAGGCAAATCCTAGGCTCATGCCTCTTGGAATTTCATAGCCCCACACTCCGTTTGGGAAACCAGTGTGCTCATGAGAGTTATGGAGTCTTGACATTTCCATCCAGCCCTGGCTCTG